AGAGCTCCCATGCTCCTGGGGCCCTGCAAAGCTTGCTCAACTAATTGGCCTCTCTGGCCTCCCAGGCTCCTTAGTGTCTGGCAAGAAGAGGCTCTGAATGGAGCACAGACTTCACATTGAGGCCCTGGTTGCCTGGGACACACTCAGTCCGTCGGGCTCATCCTCTTCATCCTGCTCAGCCTCCGCATCTCCCCCAGCCTCAGCACACCCGCCAAGCAAGGGAGGGCTGGGAAGGTACTGGAGGAGCCGACCATTCCGCTTCATTTCTGCCAGCTCCTTGGCGCAGCAGCTGGGTGTGTTGGTCTCATAGGTGTCATGGAAGGTGTTGTAGTCCACCTCATAAAAGCCCTTTTCCAAGGTGAGGACGGGAGTGAATCGGTGACCCCAGAGCACCTCGGTATCCATGTAGGAGCTTCGTGCTTGGCAAGTCATGCCTGGGAGACAGAAGCCACATGCATTAAGATGCATCCATTTAGTGGTCCATGCATCCATCATCCACCTCCTTCACATCCATCTCTCCATCCATCTTTCATCACCCTCCATTCATGTAACTCTCCATTCATTATTTGTTTAGCTATCCACTCAATCAAACCCATCGCCAGCTATTAAACCATTTATCCATCTGTGGTGGATTGGAATGAGAATGGCCCCCATAGACTCGTGTATTTGAATGTTTGGTTACTGGTTAATAGACTATTTAGGAAGGATTGGGAGGTATGGCTTTGTTGGAGGGTTGTGTTTCTGGGGCTTAAAATTGAGGTTTCAAAAGCCCGTGTCAGGCCCAGTCTCAGACTCAGTCTCTGTCTCTCTGTCTCTCTCTGTCTCTGTCTCTGTCTCTCTCTCTCTCTCTCTCTCTCTCTCTCTCTCTCTCTCTCTCTCTCCCTGCTGCCTGTGGATAAGTTGTAAGTTCTCAGCTACTGCTCCAATACCATAACTGCCTGCTGGCCTTCCTGCCACCATGCTTCCTGCCATGATGGATATGGATGAACCCTCTGAAACTGTAAGCAAGCAATCCTATTAAATGTTTTCTTTTATGAGTTGCCTTGGTCATGGTGTTTCTTTACGGCAATAGAAAAGTAACTAAGACACCATCCATTCATCCAATTATCCAGCTATTCATCCAGTCATCCACCTATCCAACCATCCATTCCTCCAATCATCTATCTACCCAGCATTTATTCCTCCAATCATCCACCTAGCAACCATCCATTCATCCAAACATCCATCTATCCAACCATCCATTCCTCCAACCATCCATCTACCCAGCATTCATTTCTCCAATCATTCATTTGCCCAACCATCCATTCCTCTAATCACCCATCTATCCAATCATCCATTCCTCCAATCATCCATCTACCCAGCATTCATTCCTCCAATCATTCATTTACCCAACCATCCATCTACCCAACCATCCATTCCTCCAATCATCTACCTATCCAGCCATTCATTCCTCCAGCCAGCCTTCTACCCAGCATTTATTTCTCCAATCATCCATCTACCCAACCATGCATTCCTCCAATCATCTATCTACCCAACCATCCATTCCTCCAATCATCCATCTATCCAACCACTCACTCCACACATCATTTTCCAAGCACCTCTTGAATATCTACTTTGTGCCCAGGATCTAGAAGGTGAGGCTGAATATGAGATGGTCCTTGTGGTGGAGGAGCTCGAACTACAATGAGGGAAGAAAATGACAAATGGACTTGCAAGACTCTGGAACACATTTCTAGATGCTCAAGGGGGAAATGAAATAGTTGGAGACAAGGACACATTTTTGAAGCAGTGTCTAGGATTGAAAGAGACTGACTGGAAAAGAGACAGGACAAGGGTTTAAACAAGGAAAGTTCAGAGGGACCAGAGAGCTGCTGACAGGCATTCAGAACATAGTTCTGAGTGGACAAACAGATGCCTGCACACTCATGAACACATACACGTACATGTATCCATACATAGACATGCATGTGTGCACAGTAAGGGAAAGCAAGCTAACACCCAGCCTGGCTTCTGATTTGAGGATGCTCTGATGCCCCTGGTGTCTGTCTCTGCAGCTCTGCCATGGCTGTGTTATTTTTAGGTGTTGCTTCCTCTCCAGAGAGGGAGGGCAGTTTTGTTTATGGATGAGGAAACCTCTGTGCTTAGGGTCACAGAAAAGCAATTTTTTATTTAATCTCTGTCCAAGGAAGAACTGGCTTTTGCTCTTCGGACACTGAAGAGGAGTCTTCTCCAGTTCCACTGTGGGCCTTCTCTGGGGGAGGGGTCATACAAAGCTGCTTCCCGTTATCTGTGCCTGGGCTCCCTAAAGCATCCCATGCATGGTGGGCTTATAGCCCACTCTTTGCTTTCAGGGTGATGCCTGCCCCAGCCAGGCCTCTCCAATCAGGGTGTATGTCATCAGCCCAGTAGAGGTAGAAACACCCAAGCTGGATACCAACCAGTCTAGCCCAAGGCCCCATGCCTGCAGGTTCCCAGAGACTCTGAAAAGACCCTGGCACGGGATCTGTTCCCTTTCAAAGCACTTACCGGCTCTGTGTTCCACCTGTGGCACTCCACCTGGCCCTTCAGTCTTCCCACCAAGTTAAATCTCCTGCCTTGCAGACAAGCTCAAGCAACTTGCCCAGACGCACATAGGAAGGGTGTGGAAGAGTTATGCTGCTTAGCCTAGGCCTGAATTAACACCAAGGCTGGGTTTCATGAGCGTAACAAGGAGACAAAACAACTCATGCCATTTGTGAGTAGGTGGTCTCAGCCTCCCACAGACAGAGACCGAAGATTAGCTATCATAGCTTATGGAAGGGGACATCAGGCAGTTAGAACAGGACAGTATAGACCAGGGCTTTCAGGGACATGTGGGAAGAGGGGTGGGCAAACAGGACCAGCATCCACTCCCCTTCTGGTGGTCTGTGCATGCTCTCCTGCTGCACACTGGCGGCAGTGAGGGCATCGCCAGGAGACGATGAGACCGCCTCTGCCCCATCCCTCCTTCAAGACCTCAGAGAGGAGCTCCTTCCCCAGAAAGTGATCCTTTGTTCTAGCCTGACCCTGTTATCAAGGACACAATGACCCTGGAGTCTCCATCCACACGAATCAGCTTACTACTTCCTGACTGCCCTCAGCCCCAGGGACTCCTCCAGCTGCCACCATATGCTTCCTGGCTAGGCTCCGGCCCCCCAGCAGATGGCCAGGCAGCCTTCGGCATAGTCTCTAGGGCCTGCTATCACCCCGACTGACTCCGAGTTGGAAATGGGAAGGCTTGTAGAGGTGCTGTCTGAGTCTCCCAGCCAGCAGTCAGATTCTCAAGGGCTGACGGGTGTACTTGGCCGCCTTTAACAAGCCTCTAACATTCTTAGGGACCAGTGTGGCATGCAGAAAAGACTGGGGACTTATATAAATGAGAGCCCCAAACATGCACACTTAAGTCTGCCTGGCACTTTTGCAGTTCAGCATCCGTCTCTGCAAAAGGGGGCGAGAAGCACATAAACACTATTGGCAAGGTTTTGAAGTGTTATTCTGAGCATGGTGGCGGGGCGGGGGGTTGAACAAACCGTCACTAGGGTTAGCACGCTGCTCAGTCTAATGGTGAGTTATAGAGAAGGAAGATAAAGGAAGACAAACACAGCATTTGGCTGGTGGGCACTCCTTCCCAAGAAGCAGAAGGTCCAAGCATGAAGGTGGTGCCTGTGGTTCTCAACTGGAGCTCAGATCCTCTTAGACCTTGGACTCACTGGGTCACCTTCAGAGAGATCTGCCTCGGCAGGTGGAAAGTTAGGGGACAGGCTGCTCCTGAGAGAGGACAGCTGGGAGAGCATCTCTCCCAGATCTGTAGCATAGATGCTCTTAAAAAAAATAAAAAATAAAAAAAGGACTCTGCAAAATACTCATAAAATACTCATGAACTTGGGAAAGGCTGCGTGCTGGGTACCATCTACACTGATTCACTTTTGTTATCACCAGAAACCAGAGTCACCTGGGAAGAGGGACTCTCAGTTGGTTCCAACGGATGGACCTGTGGGAATGTGTGTGTTCGAGGGGAGGTTCTTTTGATTGATGGTTGCTGTGGAATGATCCAGCCCGCCACGGGTGATACTATCCCTAGGCAGGTGGACCTGTGCTATGTAAGGATGCAAGTTGAGCAAGCAAGAGAGAGCAAGCCAGGAAGCAGTCTTCCTTCATGGTTTCTGCTTTAATCCCCCTCCCTGCTTGATGGAGTTCCTATCCTGAGTTCCCTCAGTGATGAACTGTGACCTGGAAGAAGAATAAAGCTTTTTCTTTCCTAGTTGCTCTACATCATATTCTAGTTGATAGTCCATCACCGAGACAGAAGGCAACAGCATCCTCTCCTAATGAGGAGGGCCTCATGTCCAGCAGTGATCTCAACCTGGGCCGCATGTGGGATGCCCTGCATATCAGCTCTTTACAGTATGATTACAAGGGTAGCAAAAGTTCAGATAGGAAGTAGCAGTGAACTCATTTTATGATTGGGGGTAGCTACAACACGAGGAACTGTATTAAAGGGTCATAGCATTAGAGAGATTGAAGGGGCCATGACGTCTGGCTCTAAAACACCACCTCTTTTAGTCAGCCCAGGCTTCCCAACCACCCCATGCCTGTCTCAGGGCAAGAAGCACTTAGACCTATTGGAAATTCAGGCTGGCTCTGGGGTCCTGCTGCTTTCATGGTGCTTGCTTGCTCCCATTTGCGCTTCTGTTTGTAGACCATGGATTCTCCCTATGGAGGTGTGGAAGAGCCTCAGTGCTGTACTACATGTTTAAAGTCAAGGACCATGCCAGGAAGCTGGAGAGCTCAGTCTGTGTTAGTTATTGTTAGTGCTCTATCTTGGGCAACTGCCCCTTGGTCACATTAGGGATGGAGCAGGGTGTCCCTCATTGTCATTTTGGGATTCTTAGACACGAAGGTCTACATTCTAGGGCCACAGCTGTCTATGCGCCAGGGGGCAGGAAGAGGATCAGGTGGCTGAGGAGGGCAAAATGTCTTACCTGTTGCTTCCACCATTCCCTCTAGGATGACCACGACCTCAAATTCTTCCTGTTCCAGCTGGGCACGCGACATCTCCCAGAAAGGGCTCTTCTCATTGATCTCATGGGAGATGATGAGCGGGGACACCAGGAAGAGACGGTCGTCCCCAGTGTCAAAGCCCACATTAATGTCGGTCTGGTTCAAGGGGATGAATTCCCCTTCTTTGGTCTGCCGGGATTTGATAAGCTTGGCGCGGATGGAGGCCTCCACGATGTGGGAGTTTCGGAGGTCACCTACCCGGAACATGAGACACAGCTTCTCATCCCGCATGGAGATAACGGCATTGTTGGAAAACATGAGGGTCTCTGCTCTCTTCTTTGGCTGGCTGATCTTCACAAACATGCAACCCACCATGAAGGCATTAACGATAGAGCCCAGAATGGCCTGCACCAGAAGGAGTATGATCCCCTCCGGGCACTTCTCAGTGATGACGCGGAAGCCATACCCAATGGTTGTTTCTGTCTCAATGGAGAACAGGAAGGCAGACACGAACCCACTGAGGTTTTCAACACAAGGGATCCACTCTTGGTCACCCACATGGTCCAGATCACCTCGGATGTAAGCAATGAGCCACCAAATGAAGCCGAAGAACAGCCACGTGATGGTGTAGACCATGGTGAAGACCAGAAGGTTGAAGCGCCATTTGAGGTCCACCAGGGTGGTGAAGAGGTCACTTAGGTAGCGGTAGGTCTCCTGAACATTACCGTGGTGCACATTGCACTTGCCACTCTTCTCCATGTAGCGCTGGCGGGGCTTCTTGCCTTCTGCCAGCAGGCGAGTGCGGTCGGTGGCGATAGGGATGTATTCCCGTGCCTGCTTGGGAATCTTCTTGTGGTCCTGGGAAGTGACTCCTATCTCCATGTCTTTGTTTGTAGCGTTCCTAGAATCACCAGCCATTGCTGAGATACAATGAATTAAATGATACCATTAGTAAAGTGGCCTGTTCTGAGTACAGACCTGGAACTGGAGGCTGCTCCCTTCTGGGGGTTCTCAAGTGTTTCTCTTCTAGGATACAGTGTCCCAGACTCTGAAATTCTCAAGGGCTGGGGACCAGGTACTCTTACAGCATTTCTTTGTATCCCTGGTGCCCCTGGAGAATCTAGGATGTGGCACATGCTCAGGAGTTTGTTGAATGGCTAAAACTGGGGGCCGGTCACACAGGAAGTGTTTAAGGTATTTGGAGAAATCTGAGAGCAATTTGAAAAATAATAATTGCCACAGTTTATTAAATGTTTATTATGCTTCATGGATTGTCACTTGTGATTAGCATAATAGCCTGTTGGAGTTAGTGACTGCAATCCCCATTATATACTGTGTAGAGTGCATTTCTTTCTTCTAAAAAGAGATTTAGTTTTTAAAAATATGTGTGCATGTTTTGCCAGTGTGTGTATGTGCCCTGTGTGCATGCCGGGTGCCTGTGGAGCCAGCAAAGACATTGGACCCTCTGGGAATGGAGTCGCAGACAGTTGTGAGTTGCCATGTAGGTGTATCTGAACCCAGACCCTCTGCAAGAGCAGCAAGTGCTCTTAACCACTGAGCCATTTCTCCATCCCTTCATGTGGATTTCTAATATTTTGTTAGGATGGATACAAGGTCCTCAAGTGCAAGGATTTGTGTCTGTGTGTTCCTTGCTACATTCCAAACACAAAAATGGGATAGATCGCCTGACCTAGACTGGTTCAAAAGCACTCCTGCATGCAGAGTGGAAAGAGGGGAAGAGGGTATGAAGGGCAATTTGGGGATTTCTACTTGCCTGGCCCCAAGCCTGTGCTTCCCTCTACAGGCCACTGCCTTCCTCCCTTATCGTTTGGGATCCTTTAGCATCTGATGGAAAGGAGAAGGCAACATATGCCTGTTTCACTGAGTGGTCCCTGTCTGGATGGGGAGTCTGGTCGTCTGAGTACTTATTAAAATGACAAACCACCGTGTAGAGGCACCCTTGAAACATCTGATCTAGTTAGTGCTGAGAAATTGAGATAGACGACATGTTCATGCCCTGAGACTTTCAAAAGGACTGCGTTTTAGAGGGCATGCCCCACTTCAAAGAGACACACAGACACCTGGAATATTCCATCCACTGCCTTCCTGACATTTTGCTCAAGCTCCTTTAAAACGCTTTGAGAGTCTGATAAAGATAGGCGAGATTGTGAGCCCCCCTGATTACTGAGAACAGCTTACTCAGGGGCAGAAGTTGAGCTAAGAAATGTTCCTCCATTTGCCTGCTTATTCCTATCACAAGTCATTGAATGGTTATATATTATCTGTCCATTTTTCTTTGGTTGTTGCTAAAATCTTTGCTTATTCTTTGTTTTTGAAACAGTTTCAGGTTGGCGGGGAAGCTACTATGTAGCCCAGGCTATCCTCCATCCCTGGTCTTCCTGCTGCGGCTGTGGCGTATTGCTGGGGTTTGCACTGTACTGAGCTAGTGTTTCCATTTCTCAGTAGAGAAAATGATGCTGGAAGCAGCATGTGGCCAGTTTAGTTCTGGAATCTGACTTTATCTTGCTGTATCCCCAGAGGCTTAACCCTGACAACATGGTGATGTTCTATGACTCAAGCTTTAGCTAAGAGACTGCTGCGTCCAGAATTTTCTTTGAGCTCTGAACCTGACATTTCTCTTAGGCCTCCATTTTCTTCATTGCACTGGCTGAGCAACAAAGCGTCTTGATCACTCTGTGACCTGGGCCAGTAAAATTGTTCTCTTGCAGGCTCCAATCCAAGCACCCACTCTGGATTGCTCACCCTGGGGTTTGGCAAATCTCTCTTTGGAATCCAGTGGGGGGGGGGTGGTCCCTTGTGGGAACACTAGTTTGGGGACTTTAGGGAACTTGTAGAAACCATTCTGGCGAGTGTACTAGAAACCGGTAGACAGCCGGTTAGAAATTAGCTGGCTCGGTGGACATGAGGACTGGGCCCCTTCTTTACAACCAACGTCCTGTGAAGACCAGGACAGGAACTGTAGGACTCTAGCTATTGGTCAGAGGAAAAGGACCTGAGTCAAATCTGGTTCTTGGATGGGACTTCCTGAGCTGCCTGATGACGTTTGTTTGTAACTCTTTAAAGCTGGTTCCAGGTCAGCAGTATGCATTCCATACATACCAATGCCTACTCTTGTGACTGCCAGTCAAATTGGCCCATCAATCCTCTGGATGGGAAAACACCCCTTGGGGAAGCTGTTGTCCTAGTTAACTTCAGCTTGTCAACTTGACACAATCTAGAGTCACCTGTGGGGAGTCTCAATTAAGAGATTGCCTATGTCAGATTGACTTGTGGCCATGTCTGTGAGAGATTGCTTGGCTGATGATTGACGTGGCAGAGCATGGGCCACCATGAGCGGCACTGTCCCTAGGCAGGTGGGGCTGAGCTATATAAGAAAGCTAGAGAGATGAACACAAGCCAGGGAGCAAGTCAGAGTGAGCTAGCAGTGAAGCTTCTGCCCCTAGTTCCTGCCCTGACTTCCCTCGCTGGTGGGAGGTAACCTGGGGGTTACAAGCCACATGAACCCTTTCCTCTCATAAGTTGCCTTTGGTCAGGGTATTTTAGCAAACCAAAAGAGATGAAACCGAAACAGCTGTCTATTTTAGGGCCACTAGACATAGTGTAGGCTGTCTAAAATGTAAACGGGTACAATGTTCTCTTGGGGACGTTCTCACCCCCGAGGGTGTCCCATGCCACTCTGAAATAAACTCTGTCTTCTAACTAGCTATGCTCTCTATGTCTTATCTGGATTCTTCTGGCAGGGCTCACAAGACTAGAGATGAGTGGGGACAAGAACAAAATGCCCGTGACAGAGAGCACAGAACCAACGGTCCCACTGACCAACTAAGGCCATATTGACCATCTTGAGGAATCCTGTGACAGCCACCTGGGTGGCTGAAGCAGTTTCAAGGTAACCTTTAAAATGTCATTCACTTGAAGGGCCATTTGTCTCAGACATCCATTGGCCATTTCCCTCTCTGCGCACAGCCACCTGCTCCCTGCTCTTACATGTGGCAGCCGCAAAGATAAATGAAATAAAAAGGGAAATGCTTGGGCCATCTTTATACAGGGCTGTGCAGGATTTTGTTCTGCTCCCCTGGATGAGTCTTTGTACCAAAAATCTGACCAGAGATTCCTAGAGCTGGCAGACTATGCTGGTGACCCCGAAGCCCCTGCACCCCTGGAAACTCAGCTGTGGTAACCCACATTGGCTTCCAACTGAAGTGTTTAGTGAGTTCTCCCAGCCACACATGCTGAACAGGGCTATGGCAGGACCATGAGAATGAGTCCTGTCCGGGGCACTTGGGAAGTGTGTTGTACCCTCGACTCTGCTGATTTTCTGCACTGTTTCCTTCCTGTTTTTAAATACACTCTATGCCTTCGTATAGCAGAGGGCCCTGTGATGTATTAGAAGCAGAGTGATATTTTCTAGGACACCTGTGTCCAGGTCTGGAAAAGTTGTGCACATGGGGAAGGCTGCATATTTCTGATTTAAGAGCCATGCATTTGCCTAAAATATCCCTTGTGTCACCTAGGGTGTGATGACTAAGTTCTGGAGTCAGCTCGGTTGGACTAAGAATCTTGCAGGTCACTAATGAGACACAACTTCAGGCTTGTCTGTGCGGGTGTCTCCAGGGAGGCGAACCCTGGATGTGTGTAGCACTGCCCCATGGCCTGGAGTCCAGACTGACTCATACAGAAAAGGAGAAAGCACATGAGCTACGGCAGTCCCTCCTTGTTCTCCGATCCCTGGTCTGACCAGATGTGAGCAAGCTCACCCTGCCAGGGCTTCCAGCTGCTTCGCAGCCATGTCTTCTTCTCCACTGGGCTATCCTTTTAAACTCTGAGCCAAGCTAAACTTTCCTCCTTCAAGTGGCTTTCTTGAGGTGTTTGATCACAGCTACCGGTACACGGGGTATAGGACTTGGGTTTGAGCTCATTATGCAGCAGATTTGTTCTCAGTGACTGTTCTCTGCCCTCCTTGCTTGGGGGCCATTGTGGAGAGCCCTATAAAGGACACATGATACAAATATAAGAAAAATGTAGTCCCGCACCACATAATAAGACTTTGATTGGCGACAGACTGCATATATGACCCTGGTCCCCCAAGACAGCGTCAAACATTAGTAGAGCCTGCACTCGGCCATCTTAATTGTATAAACTAACTGTACAAAATCACCTAATAGTGCATTTTCTTCAGACTGTCCCTGTCATTAGGCTGGGTGTTGTATATATTTATAATCTCTCCTTCCTTGAATTTAAGTGCAGAGCGGTGCGCAATTTTCCAAATTTTTAAACACCCCAAGAGAAGAAACGCCCAAAAATCAAGCACATGAAACCTCAGTGGTGTTTGCAGTGTGGGTATTAAGATCCTTGATCACGGAGCCATTGCCACCCAGGTTTCTTCAAAAGTTAAAAGAGGACTTATTCTGGAAAATTCTGGCCTCCAGTGCTTGTGTGCCCATCAACTCAAACAGATTTTCAGGGACAATGTGGGCAGACATTTAAAAATCATGTTCTAGGTAGGATCAATTCAACTAACTGTGCCTCCATTCGGTAGGTATTAATTAAGGATCTGTTACAGTCCGGTCCCTGACCTGGGAGCTGGACACAGAGCAGTGAAGAAGGTAAACGCAGCCCAGCCTACCTGCACTTTTCATCTTAGCGTTGTCTCTTTCTACCCAAGGTGTCCAGAACTGTGGGTAGAAGAGAGGCAGGACGACAGGCACAGGCCTGCGAGAGAGAAGCCGAGCATCCCAGCCACTCTCTTCAAGGCTCCAACCTGAGCGAACCCTCTCACGCCTGGCTGCCCTGTGACTGCACTTCTGTTCTGGCTGCCTTTTGTGCCTGGGGATGGGGAGAGCTACTAGAACATGATAAAAGGTCTCTGCAAAGACAGCTTCAATGCCAGCAAAGAGCC